CATCAATCATGTCGCATCATGTTTGTCGCAGGACCTACGAATGTGCGCACACGGTGTGCTAACCCAGTCGCAAACTCTCGCCAACGGTGAGATTGAATACTTGCATGCCTCCGTTTCTCGATCCTCTCGCTCGAGATTATTAATTACGCTGCCGTGCCTAACTACTATCAATTGCGCGGCGGCAGTTACGACAAGTTTCGAGATAATCATCAAGTTCTAACAAGCACTTAATATCAGATCGCTTCCGGTCTAATTTTCCGACATCCGGCACGAGCCGGAGCGAGTATAGAACGCTTGGGGGTTGGGGAGGAGAGGGAACGGAAACGCGAAAATTATATTTCTATAATAGCTATCTACAAATGTGTGTGGAGTGCCTTCCGATCGATCGACGAGGAGAGAAGAGTGAGAAGGATTCTGTATCCGTGCGCGAAAAGAACGATTTTGCTCATGTATTTGAAAATTTCAATAGATACAGATCCAAAAATAATTTAAGTTAATAAAACCATTAAAATAACGTGGAAAATTCAAGCATGATAAACGCTGCAAAAAGTTTTGATATTTTCGCAATCAAGCAATTGGGTGTCCTACATAATTATTTTAAAAAGTCCAACAAAATTATTTTCAGACCTGTATCCAGCTAAATTTTTAATATGTACGATTTTCGTCAAGTATTTAAAATTTTTTAGTATATACGATTTTAGTAAAGTATTAAAAAATTCAGCTAGACACAGATCTCAAAATAATTTTGTTAAATCGTAAAAATAATCGTATAAAATAATTACGTGGTACGCTTGAGCGTTGATGATAATGCTGCAGAAAGTTTTTACATTCCAGCAACCAGCTTGGACATTCTACATAATTATTTTAATAATGTTCAACGAAATTATTTTTAGATCTATCCAGCTAAATTTTTAAATGCTTCAGCAAAACTATTATTCTTTCTATGTATGTATATGAAAAGAATGATTTTGTTAAAGTATCTGAAAATTTAGCTAGATATAAGTCTAAAAATAGTTTCGTTAGACCGTTGAAATTAACAGCAATGCTTAAGCATAAATGATGATAATGCTATAAATAGACATTTTAGCTGACATTTTAGCAACCAGCTTGAGCGCCCTACATAATTATTTTTATATTCTAATAAAATTATTTTCAAATCTGTATCCATAGCTTTACTTTTAAATATTTCGATAAAACTTGTTTTTTTTTACATGACATAAAGTCTGTATTTGTTTAAACGTGCAAAATGCACTAATCGTGTATTTTGCACGTTTGTGCTGTTACAATGTTACAGGCAAATACAATTGGGGGCGTGTTTCATGATAGTGATAGATTAATTCCGCTTGTTGGTTAGTTTGCTAAACGCAATATTTACAATGCAAATACGCGGGCATGTGTAGGCTATTAATGAAATCATATATCGTTGTTCGCTTCGTGTAATATTCGGGAGCAGAGTGCTTACTTCCGTGTAACGCGATCGCGCATTCGCGTTTCTCATCTGGAATTCGCTGGCGTGGCTCATAGATTAAATTTCGCTGTTTCTCAATCGCGATAAATGATATGATGTGTAAATTAATTTGCGACGAAAATTCACGAGACGGCTTTTGCCACTTTTCTGCGATGAAAATCTGGTAATTACGTCACTTCGGAAATAACTTCAACGAACGATTTGCGAGGTTAATCAGTTCGTCCAAGTTCCATTTATCACTTGCTGATTTCTATCACCGATGCTTAGGATTTGTCAACGTTACTCTCGCCGTATCAGATCGAAGAATTTTAATGAAACCTCATTTTCTATTTATTAAGTTATTTATAGTAATTCTGTTATTTATTAAACTTCTAAAGATTATATAAAGGTAAAAAAGTATTTATACAGAGATTTTTTTTTTATTAATACAATCTTATTAGATATCTAATAGAAAATAAGCGTTTATGAGCAATTTAAACATTAATTAATGAGTACTATTTTAATATACGTTCTATTTTTTAATATAAACAAAAGAACATTGCGAAAATAATCGTGTTTATGATCTTAGAAGCTAAATTTTTTTATTGATGAACACTTTTTGTGCATTCAAATAATACAATTTTCTATTTTAGCTTATTATTAAGATAACATATTTTAATTATTACACATCTTTTTAGACAAAATAATTTTGAAAAATATTTAATCTACAATATTTTGTTAACAAATTATTTACTTTCTAAGAATAAGGTTTTTAAGGATATTTCCTCCGTATGAATACTTTTGATACGTACTGTATTTTATAGGAAATTTATAAAATAAATTACTCAACAACATACAAAAATTGTCAAACTATATTTTTTCGGTAAATACAATATTAATGCTCGATAAGCCATTCCATAGCGTGCGCCACGTTTAAAATTGAATTTATGACTTTAATTTCAATCCTGAAATTCCCATATCGTTTAAAATTGCGGTTTTCCATGATTGCCTGAAAAATCGCATTTATCTCGTCCTTACATTTTAGACTTTTAATTATTATTGTCGTGCGAATAGACCGTAAGATACGAGGAAAATCCGAGGGTTTTAAACAGTAACGGGATTAGCGGAATTGAAACCACTGCAATATATAAACCGTATATCAAGCAAGCAGAACGGAGTTAAAAAGTTTAACAAGCTCCGCGTAACACTACTCTTATATTATCTGAAAAATCAGTGCGTTTTTCGCGACATTTAAGTGAGTAATTTTGTAACGCAAGATGCTTTATTCACATCATTTAACGATATGTATAAACTCTCACGCGGCGGCGCCAATCAGTTTACCACGAAGCTTGGTAACTTCACACTTTCTCGGTACGTTAATCTCGTGCACATTCTCGGGCACCGTTTGATTGCGATTTCGTAATACCGATATTCAAGCTAGCTCTCTCTCTCTCTCTCTCTCTCTCTCTCTCTCTCTCTCTCTCGTGCAATTGTTCGTACACGCCAATTATTCTGGTCGCGGTCTGCGCAATATACACGGTTCACACAGAGAGACGAGAATATCTCGTTTCACGAGGGCGAGAATCTCGCTTGGAAAAGAATGAGTCGCTAAGAGGCGCTAAAGACGAATTTTCAGGTACGCTTCTTTGAAGTTGCTGAAGCGCGAACGAATCCGTCCATCGATTCGCTTTCTGGGTTACCACCTGTCGTTCGCCGGGATTATGCAAAGTCTCCCAACCAGCGGTGGACCGCGGAGAAAATGTGTAATTAATTAGCGGATACATATTGTTGAACCGCTCGTCGTGATGGTTGCGCGCGCGTTTTACGACCTTACTATCGCCGCACAAAGAGTGCTGTCACTTTCTCGTGATGGTCTTTTAGATTTTAGCATACCGGACGGATCCTAGGTTACAGATATTACGGTCGTTGCGTACAAAAAAAAATAGTGGAAAAAAAAAGAGAAAAGCATTAAGGATGTTTTGTCCATACAATATCAGTTAAAAGAGCCAATATCAGTCGAAAATTTTGGTCGTAAATATATACGTCTTGAAATGAATTGCAAAAAACAAAACAAAAAATAATATTCTTTTGGCTTATAATATGTAGCTTACGTAGCGCAATAACTATATTCTGCTGCAATTTTAGGTAAATGACTTTTAAACGAAGTAATTGCATCTAAATGAACTTTTACATGAATATTTATTAAAGTTTTATTAATATTAATAAGAAATTTAATTTAATTGGTAAATAATTTGGCTTATAATGTCTTCTTAAACAACGCGATAATTCATATTTTGCTGCAGTTTAGATAAATAACTTTTGGACAAGTAAGTGGAAAAATAAGTTTAATTGAATTTGTAAATAATTTCACTTACGATGATTTATGTAGCGCACAATCATATTCCGCTGCAATTTTAGGTAAATAACTTTTAAACAAATAAGCGAATCGAAATAAATTTCTGCTTAGAATATTTATTAGAATTTTTATTAGTACACAAAAAGTTTAATTTAATTGGTAATACTATTTCCTTGTCAAATTTGAAAGTAAAATGCGATTTTATAGAAAAATGAAGGAAAACGAAAAAATTAAGCAATTTTTAAGCCAATAAGAAAATTGTGCACAAATTTTACTCAAACGTAATAATAGAATCTATGAGATTGATATATTTTTAGAAATGCTTTGAGATGTGATGACACATACATCCTTAAAGAGTAAAATAAACATAGAAATCCGCGAGAAATGACGATTCATCCGCTACATCCCTCGGGATTATCTCCGAAATTGTCGTTCTCGTTTCATTTAAATGACGGACACAAAGCGTGTTCATGGCATTTGTTTTACGTGCCCGTTGGCATTTCTCTCCCATACAAACAAAGCTGGCCGAATCATTTTCTGTCTTCCTTTTTTTTTTCCAAAACCGCTTCCCAACTGTCGTAAATTGCGTTAACTCCTATTCGCCCGTAGCGGCGGCGAGATCTCTTCAGGAAGCCGAGGATGGCAAACATTACGCAAACAACGATATGTCGATGTAGTCATCACGTCTGGAGACGCGTTCGGACGATAGAAAGTTAAGTGTCCTGTGGGCATGCAATTACAATAGCAGCGATACGCTCCTGTAATATCGGAGGCAGCGGATAAGTGCAGCGTGAAGAAGCGAGGAAGAGATGAACAGCCTGCCTATATAATACTCGCGTACATGTTCATTACAATTGTTGCTACTCATTTTCATTCGCGAGTGCAACATAAAAATATAAATCCCAAGAAGAGATTGCGCAAGGAGAGGAGTCTGCATGCATATGACCATTGATAAAACGCCGCCGGGCTCTCTCTTCCTTCTTCCATCGCCATCGTCCGTACGTCGTATCGGCGGGTCAAGCGGCATTTCTCAAACGGTCGTCCATACAAACGACGGCGGTAAACGAGCACGCTGCCGTCGGCGGCGAAAAATCTGCGCATCGCAGATAGCATGTTTTGCATGTCGAAACAAAAGCCGAGATTAGGATCGACGACCGCCGCGATTCGCGAGTCCACAGTCCACGGGGGATCGCGGAAGAGCAGCGTCGAGGAGCGAAAAATTCGTGCGAAAGTTTAGCGGGTAAAAAAAGTCGAGATCCACGCGGATTTCGCAAGAATGCGGCCGTGCCGTTTGCTGGAGGAGGAGGAGGAGGAGGATAACGGCAGGAAGAGGAATCAATTCAGCAAGGACGAACGTTTCGTTTTGTTGAGCATAATGGGACAGTACGCGCCACTGCTGGACGATAAGAGCGCGTCGGTGTTTGATCGCCGAGAGATCTGGCGCGCGATCGAGCGAGACTTCCACCGTGCGGGTTTCACTGGCAAGACGTCGGCGCAGCTGAAGAAGTACTGGCAGAACTACAAGTATCACGGCAGGAGAGCCCAAGCGGTAAATCACGCGTGGCGCGTCCGTATATGTCTGGATTTCTCGCTCGTGAAATTAGCATCGATAGGCGACCTGAAATTCGCTTGCTAAACGACGCTTCTTTTCTTTTTTTTTTTTCTTCCCTCCTCCTCCCCCCCCCCTTTACTCTCCTCCGATGCTCTGACTCGCTTATCGCAGCTTCTTCTCTTCCTCTCGAGACTTATCTATTTCTTATTCTCGACAGGTCAAAAGCGAATGAGAATACATATGAAAGTACACGTAAGACAATAAGTTAGACGTACAACAGGTTACGCGGAAAGAACGATTTTGCTGAAAGCAAAAATCTAAAATTTCGTTGACACAGATATGAAAATAATTTTGGTGGCTCATTAAAATGATGTTGTTGGAAATTTAAATTGATTATTAGAATATCAAACTTTTGGTAACGTTGTTCTCATCATTTTTTGGTTTCCAATATCATTATTTTGATGGTCCAACAAAATTATTTTCGTATCTGTATCTGTAGCCAAAATTTAAATCTTTCGGCAAGATCGTTCTTTTTGTGTAAATATTAACGATCCTTTAACCGTCCGGAATTGACGATGATCTACTTGACTCGCAATTACAAGTCTCTTTGTTAAATACGTATAATTTAATTTTCATTAAAATATATCTTTTTATTCGAATTACATCATTTTGCTTTCTTGAAATTAATTAGTGCTTTATTATTAATAAATTAAATGGATTTTGCAGACTCGACATCACTAACTGTATTATTGATTTTAACGACAACTCCGAGAGGGTTAAATGTCGAAAGAATGATGATTTTTTTTTTTTCCATGATCGTTTCCGTTTTTTTCTTTTTACTTCTTGCGATGTCTTACTAAAATTACGGCTATAAACGGTACGTTCATACCAGAGAATGCTTGACAATTTGCCAAAAGTTATTTGAAGCTTATTTTACATCTTCCTACTCACATTTTCCATCGTGTTTTGTCTTATCTTACCACAAAATCCAGCTCTCCCACAAATAAAAGTAAATCTCTCAACTCGTGCGAAATAAACTTGTGCAGGGCATAAAGAAGCACTCGAGTGCAACTTCGAAACACGCAGTAGAGGAGGCACCGCATCCGGAAGTCTCTGAAAATCGTGATAATCTCGAAATAACGAAGACTGCCAAGGAACGAACAGCTCCCTGCATCTCTCCTCACAACGACGCATCGCTACGAAACATCAACGATCCAGGATATCGTCGTGAGATATACGAGGATAATGGAGCGTTCTTCCGGAAATTAAGTTCTACGTCGATTCACCCGACCGGTATTTCTCTCTGCTTATCTCGCGGCCTCTTTCGGAAATGTCTCCGTTTTTTAAACTTCTCCGCGGCAATACTGTTTAATCTGTCCATCGATCTCTTCCGAATTGTAATTATTCACTTTCGCAAATTAGGACGGTCTAACAGGATGTATCAAAGAATATATACTCAGCAATAAGTTACATATAACGTACCTCTTAATTGTAATTGCCTACTCAATAATACAACTGTAATATAACACTCGACAATGTACTGTAATATAATACACGTGTTATATTACAGTTATATTGTTGAGTGAGAAATTATAACTAACAGATATGTTACACATGCAATTTGATGTTTGGTGGATACCGTCTGAATTGCAGTACGAAAAATGAAATTGTACAAGGGAAGAACGATTTTGTTGTGAAAATTAAAAATTTTGCTGGATACAGATCTGAAAATAATTTTATTCGATCGTCAAAATAAAAATAACTTTGTTGTAAGTTCAAATTGGTTAGAATATTAAAAATTTTTGCAGCATTGTGTTCATCGTTATTTCAACGTAATTATTTGGATAGTCCAATGAAATTATTTTTAGATCTATATCTAGCAAAATTTTAGATTTTCCAGCAGACATTGGAAACATTCCAATCGATATCAACGATATAACATAACATCTATGCTATTATTTCGCACTTAACAATATAATATAATACATAATATTACACAACAGTTAGATTGTTGAGTGCAAAAGAATTATAATAGATAGATTGTGTTACTTTTAGTTGATATCGACTAAGATCTTTTTATCAGCATTGAATCGTATTACACAGACAGTTCATGTGTAGTAAAGGAGATAATGACTTTTACTCTGCTCTAATACCGTCGTTTTTATGAAGGATATTCTGAAAAAGTACCTAAACTTTTCAATCTCTTATAGCTTGTGTCTCCTGATGATAAACTTCCACGGAAGTACTCGGCTGTTTTTAAGAAGCCCTAAGTTTTATTACATTCCTTATCTTTATTACAAGACCCGCTTATCGTCGTCGTCGCTCTAAAGAATATTTCGTGCTTCTTTAAACCTGTCAGGTCCTCGTGAGTCGATAAGCTACTTTCTTTAGACTTGCTCCATCGTTTTGAGACCGCAGTCGGCTTTTATTGAGACTCAATAATGCGATTGAGTTATCTATTCATTTTATTATTCTATTCGTTTGTCGAAAGTGTATCAAAGAGTGTCATCACTTTCTCCGTGGACCTTTCAGACCTTCGTATGGCTACCAACTGCGCCATTAAAAGAGTACTTCTCCAACAGCCATCGATTTTATGATTTTATCTGCTCAATACATGTGACATTTTTATTCATTCGATCTATGTTGCGCACAGAACGATATTCTCATGAAATTCAAAAGTTACAATCGTTTTCACAGGGAATTGCATACTTTTTTATAAATTCTTAAAAAAAGTACATACGGTTATAATACGGTTCATAAATTCGGAAATGCTTGCAATTTTCATAAAAAGGTATCTCGACGAAAAAATGTCGTAGAGAAGTTTTCAAAAATATATTTAGAAAGAGAAGATAGAACTTTAGACTTATTGTTTAATTTGGTTTTTACGATATTTTGTTCCTAAATTACATAAAACTAAAAACTTTTATTAATATTTTTTTATTTATTTTTAAGTACTATAGCTTGATGAAATTCTATCGAACAAAAATTAATGAAAAAGTATTTCAAAGTAGACTTTCTAACAAAGTTTTAAAGTGGTTTTTAAAAAAAATTGCGAGGATTTTTCGCAAATAATCAAATTTCTAGTGTAAAAATTTATTTTTACGAAATGTTATTTAATTAAAAAATTAAAGATTTTGTAGAAAAAAGAATGATAAAAAAACAATTTGTTACAATGTTTTTCATTTGGATAAATTTTTTCAACAATTTTTGAAACTTCAACTTAATTCTTCGTGACATGCAAATGTTCCTGAATTTATGAATCGAAGTGTATATTAAGAAAATAGAAAAAAAATAGCAGACGTCGAAAAGAAGAATAGTTACTATAATATAGCAGCCTATAACTTTTAGATTTAGATTCACTTGGTAAGAATCGATCCAGCTTGGACATTTCGCAAAGTAAGGGATTCTCGAGTAAGATTTACGAAGAACCAAGGGGTGTGACAAACCACGAACCGGAGAAACCAATAGGCACTGATGTGATAGTATCTAACACCGACATTTCGGACAATAGCGTGACTGTGTCAGTGATTTGTCCTGAAAGAACTCCCGAGCTTTTCTGCAGGAATCAACCGAAAAGGAAACGCGAAGACGATGCGTCGCGTTTAGATAGGTTCTCTTATCAAAGCGACATTTCTGCCGTCTCAGGTGAAAGAATTTGATTCCATTTCCGTATTCGTCAATTTTCTAGACCGGCTGTGCATTATGCAACGAGCAATAACTGCTGAATTGATTTGATCATTATTTTCCTTTTTCCGATAGTTTATTTTTTCTTAACTCTCTGGAGCTGGGTATATTAGATCCATTCAATTCTATTCTTTCTAATTTACATCTGCAAATTTGAGTTATTGTTATTAAAATAAACTTAGGTAATTAAAAATGTCCAATATGGGCTTCCTCATTTATTTGAGTTATTTATCCTTAAACTGATTTATTCTTATGGGTTCATTTATTGTTAATATATATATCCAGCAAACTTTTTTTTCGATAGATCTTTCAGCAGAATTATTCTTTCCATGCATTATCAAACAGTCTCTTAATCCTTCGAGACTAGATTTATTAGATTTACAATTATAAATCCCTTTGTGAAAAAAATGTCAATTCAATTTTCTTTGTGTTACATCTACAAAAATTTGGATTATTCTTATTAAAAAAAATATATATATATATAGTTAGTTTTTATTCTTTTTTTACGAGTTTTGTTATTTTGGGTCCTTAAAATTAATTAGTCTTTTAGAAAATTAAATCTCACAGACTCAGCATCGGTAATTGTGTTACAAATGCAGATGTCAGCGGAGAGTTAACAAAATATATGAGATTCTTTATTTAATTATATTCATACGATGAAATGCAAATAGTATTCTTATCCGGAAGAAAGATATCAACGTTATTTCTTGCTTCAATAAATATGTCTTCGCGAATAAAAAGATCGCAAGAAAGAAAATCGAAATTACAGACAAATCGCTAGTGTGTCGCTGGCAACAAAAAAATTTCATCTCTCCGTTTAACCAGCAGCTGCATCGTCAAGTAAGAAACGCGGGAGCGACGATCAGTCCATTTTCCCGACCGCTGCAGGCTCGGCAAAAGGATGCTGCTTCTTACTTCAGCCCCGACAGACTGATAATCACAGTGAAGTAATCAGTAACCGAAGGAATACAATTGAAGTACGCCGGAAATTGGAACCAGCGAAGGAGGGATCTACTATCCTGCCGTCGAAATTTATGTCCTGGAGCAAAGTTTCATGCTCAGTATCAGCGAAAAAGATTCCTGTAACGATCAAGGAAGACTTTGCGAAGGAAAATTCCGCTGCTTCTGGTATCCGGGATTCGACGGGATGCCACAAAGGAAACCGCGAAGAATCGAAAATTGACGAGAGCGCAGTGTCGGGAAGTCAACGGGACGATTCCGGCGGAACTACGAGGTTGCGTATTCCAAATGTGCGATTATGGGATCAAGGTGAGGCTGACCTGGTCCGATGGGAACTGCAGGATGAGCTAAATTACCGGTTGACCCTGCACCAGTTGGAAGTACGCAATTTCTTGTCCCGCGGGAAAGGGATTTGGAAACTACAGAGAACAATTATGTTGCAGACCGAGGAGAAGCGGCTAAAAGTGAAAATTGCTGAGATGGCTATTCAGGAGATTCGATTCAGGATCCAGGCTCTGAACGAGGACATTCGACACGCGGACGAGCTGCACGAGTTGCAGCTGGCACTTGCGACAGCTCAAGCGGTAAACCAGATCGAATACGTGAACACGATAGCGCAAAAGCGTATTCACCGGGATACCGTTACATCCCCAGTCAATGGTTCCGTTATTTTTTTTCTTTTTTTTTTTTCATTACATACGCTAGTCGTGTCATTCGATTTTTCGCGAGAAACCCGATAATCTGATATCTCGTTCAAACGAAGGGTTTTTCTGCCTATCGAACGTAAATACTATAATCGTCAAGAAAAATATTTTTCATAGAAACATATTTTCCACATAACACTCACTTTGCAATTGTATTGACATAGCGTTGATGTTGTGTGCGGAATGCATTTGATTACTGAGATATCGTTTGAAATTTATTGGTGGTATTTTTGCAAAAATGGTTCCCTTTTAATTTAATACTTACGTACATAAAAAAATTTATTTGAAGATCTAAAAGAAGAAAAAAAATCATAAATTAATATTTTTTGCGCGTGCGTAAATTAAGAGCTATAGTGAGTGCAAAAGTATTAGTATAAGAGAAATATCTTTTAGAAAAAAACCTTATTTTTATAAAGTAAACATTAATTAGTAATTTATTAATAAAGAATAACATCAAGATATTATATTTCCCAAATTTTCCTATCTATATACATATATAGTATAATTGAAATATATTATTTTAATAATAAGCCAAAATGAAAAATTGTACTATTTTGACGCGGTATAAGTATTCGTACAGTCAAGAAATTTAACTTCTAAGATATTATGTGAACACGATTATTTTTATAAAGTCCTGTTTTATATTAGAATGTACTCATTATTGATAAATTGCAAATTAATGTTTATTTCTATAAATAAGACTTTTATAGTTTTATACTTTTTCCATTCACTATATACAGATATGTACAAAGATTAATGGCAGGAACATTAATTAGAAATAGGAATATATTCTACGTATAATTTTAAGGAGATTACGAAGAATGTTTTATTTTTTATTAACAGGATACCCAAAGGCTGCATGTTTAAGAATCACATAATTCAGGAAGGAAAGTAGCTAGAAGAGTTTTATAAGAAGGATAGGCGTCGGAAAGTACAAGAAAGACACCTGTATGTGCTTGAAGTTATTTTTATTAATCGCCATCATATCGCATGTCACGATGTCGTCATTTAGAAAAACGCATGGGACCATACAAAATAACAATGCGCTTAGATTTTTGTGGTAACCGAGCAACGTCTCGAGGTCGCGTTATTTGTTGCATTCGCTCTCTGCTTTCGTTTTTTCTTCTCTTCTTCTTCTTCTTCTTCTTCTTTTTTTCTCTAAATCTGCCGCAGAACCAGAGCAAGTGCAACCATTTCAACGGATCGTCGATCGTACAACAAACTACGGAACAATAATTTTATATCACCTCTAACAAGACGCCTTTCGTTCCATCAGTGTATCATGCTTCTCCTCCCATCTTATCGTTTAATCGAGCCTTTTCTTCCCTCCTCATTAGACTTTCCGCCATCTCGCTCCTTCTCCATTTTCTTCGTATTAAGTATTTCTCCTCGTATTTAGTGATTGTTAATAATTATCACAGAAAGTTCGTAAAACAATGATGTTGACGTTTATTAAGTGTACATGTCGTGTTCGTCTTTCCGTGTGCACGAAACGAACGCAATGTTTATGTGTGTATGCGCGTGTACGTGTAGACAGTATACGTATGTGTGTTTTATGGGCGTGTCTCTCTCGAGAATGTATATTATGCATTTAGACGGAAAAGTTTCGCACGTTGCTGCAAATATAGTAACAGTAGTTAGCGTTAGAGTACATACTAGCGGTAATAGTAGCGGTACAAGTAGCGATAAGTATAACGGTACACATTAGAATAGCCTTCGTGCATCGCAGCGCTTAAGAATAGTAATATCTTACTATTATAGTATAGAGAATATACTTTTCCTTTTATTTTAACGTCATCAAATTCGAAAAGCTTCGCTCTTTTCGAAGGTCGCCGATGCGCAAAACAAGTGAGAGAAATAGAGAAAGAGTGTGAGAAAAATAGAGAGTGAGAGAGGGTAATTGTGGAGAGAAGTGTCAGAAAAACCTCACGCTTATCCCTTATACGTATCTCTGTTCAATTCCTTTACATTTCCGTTTTGTCGCCTCCCAGAGCGCTTGTCCTCGGAAGTGACTATATCGAAGGAAACATCTGAATAATTCACGGTATTGACCGTCGTATTTACACTTTGTAATTTCGTAATACACTCCAAGTAGTATATTTAACATGGGGGAGATGCTTATAACTTAAGATCCGCTCCAGTGAAACTACACTGGAAAAAGTCTTATTGTTGTATTAATTGGAATTTTCATAGATTCAACTATAAAGGTACAAATACTATAATATATAAAGGAAAGGAAAAAGATCATTATTTAGCCGAATGTTAGTATCTCAAAGAAAAGAAATTGCGCAAGACACAAATGATTCAATCGTAAGGATTAAGAGGGCAAGTGGACTGATCACAATACCCTAGGTATAGTAGTTAAAAACTTTATACTTACTTCTGGAAAAGGAAAATAAAAAGTATTGTCTAGATATGTCCGGAAGTCATAAAGTTCATTATTTTTACATTCCTCTGTTGATGAGGTCATGAGGGATGTAACTATTGAAATATTCTTCAATCTCATAAAAATATGACACATGTAAATTTAATTATAACATAATATACTAGTAAAAATATAATTATAAAAATAAATTTTTTGTATGTAGGATACTTTGAGCATCCTATCTACCAACTTGTACTCGTTTAAACCATTTACTTGTTTAATGTTAAATCGACCAAACACATTCTAGTCAAGATCAAGTTAAGATAAATTCAATCAAGATAATGAGAATTTTAATTGATATGATTAGAATTTGGTTTGTACCTTTTATTAATTTTTTTACAATCAGAACTTTTTTCAGTGTAGGATCTGTACACTGAGACTATTCCAAAACCTTTTACTTTTCCCATCTACGATTTTTCGATCTGCCACGTAATAAATTCCTTAGGAGAAATACAGCCGAATGTTATTTCTCTTATTTAACAAATTTGTATGCTTAATATTAAACAATGTTGGACTTATTGTATTGAAATGTATTGTAGAGTTAAGAATAGAATTTCATCAATAACTTGCACTTGTGAATATTAATTTAAAAATTTATTTTGAGTCATAATTAGATAATTTTGTAACAATATCTCGACCAAAAGAGGCATAGTCGGCACTAACTAAAAATAACATAACATCATTGTTATAATTTTACATTCAACGTATGTTATATAATCATGTGTTATATTTATATTATTGAATGCAAAGTTATTACATTGATGTATTACTTTTAATTGGTGTAAGGCTGGAGGATGACTACCGATATTCTCGCTAAGAAAAAGATGGGATGGTCAAAGAATTCATTAAATGGGAGAAGCGGTAATAGTTCTGGGTACTCTAGATAATCGCATAGACACTCTTGTTACGTCAACCTTCTATAACTCACAGTGAAATAACAGTCTAACATCTATTTGTTTGCTATCGCGATAGATATACCGATTCATTTTGTGAAATAATCAACGCTCTCCGGAGGAGTAATATAGTCAAAGTGGTTCAATAACAATCGGGAAATGGGTTACAGAAGGTTAAGCCTCACAATCCTTCTCGAGGCACATATAAAGCTGCAACAGATTTATTTCTAGCTTATTAATACAAAAAATACCAAAGCGAACGAGAAGGCCACGGAAATACAGGACGTAGATCTTGTAAATTCTTATCGCAATCTAGCCGTGCGCGTTGAATCGATGGAATCTAATCAGCATAAACGTTCCATTTATTTCCAACAGAAATACAGTTAGAAATACAGGTGGAATTCGCGAGCGCGTTCGAGATTGCGATAAAAATTCCAAATCTCGGGGTGATGGAAGTGCGGTGTGCAGATGCAATCGTCCGACAGCTTTATCCTCGACAGCGCCATCCTTTGTCTCAGTGACGTGTCTCCGACCCGCGCCTCAAAGCCTTTGTCGCAAATTAGAGCGGGATACCGTGCTGGGATTGCGGTGCAGATATCCGCGGGAAAGCCATCTGTGAAATGACTAATTTCTCGTTCGCGCTGTAATATGGCGAAATTAAATCCGGAGCCGACGGCTTTAAATTAATTATCGTAATGCGCTTCAGAAGATTCAAGCCGATTGCCTCGTTGCATTATACACGCGATATTAACGGCTACAGGTACGAATGCGACGTTGAGACTTGTTTGCCGGATTAAATTTGCATTGAAAACGCTTATTTCACAGCCATTAGCGCTATCGAAATGGAATTGAGTCGAGCCAGCGGTTAAAATTATGTTAAATCGTAAAGAATAAACTGCGCAACGATGCAACAGATATTCTATCGTGCTGATCTCGTTCGAATAAATGTGCAAGCCCGTTTAACGAATACAAATGGAATAATTATCCCGGACCGATAGTTACGTATGTAATGACCCTCGGGGTTGATTTCGCGGTGATTACTCCTCGCGCGCTCGGTGCTTTTTTTCCTTCTTTTTTTTTTTAACACTTCCATCATTCTGATCACGCGTTCGGTGTCTGTTAAATCGCTAATTACCAACGTTAATGACGCTCCGCTTTGGAAAACGGCCGCTCGCGAAAAGACGCGCCTTACTGAGATGAATGTAGAGAAAATGGGGAAACATCGCCTGGAGCAGGCACGTGTTGGGCTTTTTGATTTCTCCTTTCCGCGCTTCTTCACCGAGCACTTTTCGTCGCGTGCCGTCCTCCTCTACCTTTCTCCGCGTCGCGAATTACGAGAGACTCTCAGCTCGCACAAAGCGTTCACTACGAGAATTCAGTTAACACGAAAAGCATCTAGGAATTTCACTAAGCGAGATTCGATTCTTACACTTATGCTTCCCGTTGTAAATTGTAAAAATTGCTTAAAAGACGATGGATTTTTTTTTCTTTTTACTTAATAACTCCTTATACGAAGATAAACTTAACTCAATACACCGCTCGTTCGTTTTCTCCTTTCTCTCGCCCTCTAGTCTCCGCGTTAAGTCTTGGGCAAGCGTCTATCGGCAGAGTTAACTTATTGCGCCAGAATAGAGAAACAGTTTCAAAGCCGGCGTTTATAAGAAAATAATCAGAGATAAAAAGAATCACAGGAGGTGTCTACGGATATTGGAAAAGCTAGACTTGCTGAAACTGGTGGATTTATTTCTTTTCTCATTAAACGTTTTTAAAATCTCTCTCTCTCTCTCTCTCTCTCTCTCTCTCTCTCTTGTGGCGCATGGTTGCCTCTGCTGGCGCAATCTTCTCCCAACTGACACGTTGCCGCCAAGATCGATGCACGAAACGCCGGCGATAAAAATCTCGTCGAAAATCATGAAAATTTGCTTTTATCCCGATCGAGGCTGGCGACAGCAATGTTCTCCCGGTCTTGCAACTTTTGACGCAATAATACTGCTGATATGCGTCGAAGCGAAATTGGACGTGTATTAGAAAAATAGAACTTTCGATCGCCGCCGCGCGATTAATTCGACAGAAATAAAGAATTACGGGAAAGAGGCTCTCTTTTGCTGGAGTGATCGCTGAGGGAGATCGTCGTTGACACTCTTCGCCCTGATCGTCTCATACATCGGCGGAGTGATTCATCCTCTCGCCGAAAGCCAGATATGCGCCGGATTTGCGACTTGAATTGAGTTGTACCGACAATCTGATTTAAGTAACTAACTCCAGGTCAGTGCTTCATTATCTTCGGTTGATTATAATCCTATTTATGCGAGTCCTTTGATAAATTTGGAGATTCGATTTGATTAAAGCTGATGCAATCAATCAAGTTAGAACGAAGTAGTTTTACAAATGCAAATAAAATAATGGAATGTTTATTTTTCAACTTACCTCGAGCGGACTTTATTTTAAGTAGAGATGTACGATTTAAAATTGTGCATCGCGATTGCGATTTTTCTTGTGAATGTGATACATATCGCATCATGATAAATGATGATTTTATTATATAATTT